TGTGTGTGTGTGTGTGTGTGTGTGTGTGTGTGTGTGTGTGTGTGTGTGTGCAGGCAGCTCTGCAGAAGGTGAAGGTTCTGGAGCAGAGCGTGGAGTCGGAGCGCGCCGCACACCTGCAGTCTAAATTCAACTCTGAGATCATCCAGGTAACACAGGTGTGTTTATGTACGTACACACTCAGTCAGACTGCAGCTGATCTGTGTGTGTGTGTGTGTGTAGATGAGGATGAGGGATCTGGAGGAGGCTCTGGAGGTAGAGAAGAACAGTCACACCGAGATCTCGTCGCGTCTGGAGCTCCTGAAGCAGAAGTGTGAAGAGCTGGAGCGAGCGTACGATCACGAGAGAGACAAATCATGCGACACGAGCCACAAACTCACACAGTAAGATCTCGTCTGAATTTTCAGCATCATTCAGTCCAATCCAGTCTTCAGTGTCATGTGATCCTCCAGAAATCATTCTAATATGCTGATATGATTGATTATATAATATAATACATATAACTAGGGCTGTCAGTTTAACACGATAACTTAATTAGTTATGAAAAAATTAACACGATTAAAATATTTTAACGCAGTTAACGCACTGGCCCTGCCCCCAGACCTGTATGTCGTCTTACATTTCATACAGTTTACTTTTGACAAATATGATGCAGGGCAAAAACTCCATAAATGCAGTTATGCCTTAAAATGTAAGATATTGGGGCAAAAATGCTCCTGTATGAGTTTTTGTCTCATATTTATATCATATGATAAGAGATATCAGATATCACACGAGCAGCGAGATTTTACACAACAGTTGAGTAAATAAGAAGTTAATATTGTGTTATATTTTAAACACAAATTTGTGTTAAAAAAGAAAATAGAAGGTATTTTGAAGACTGTTGGTAACAAAGCTGTTTGGTTACCAACAGTGTTGTGGGTAACGCATACAAGTAATGCGAGTTACGTAATCAGATTACTTTTTTCAAGTAACTAGTAAAATAACGCAGTACTTTTTAATTTACAAGAGAATATCTGAGTTACTTTTTCAAATAAGTAACGCAAGTTACTTTTTTTCCAATTTATTGATTGGCAGCTCTGGTGTTGCCATGGTGACAGAAATCAGAAGATGTTACTGTAGTTCTAAAATAAATATGAATATGCATTAATTCATCTCACTTAAATTACGTTAAAAAAAATTACGTAAATTTACTTTCCCTTCAGCCTGAGGCTTATTCATTTCACTTTTGGTGTGAAAAGGCTTTTATATTTGCCAAAAATATAACTTTTTTATTTTAAAAACAAACAAGCAAGCCCTGTCCAGATTTAAAAAGTAACGCAAAAGTAACGTAACGCATTACTTTCCATAAAAAGTAACCAAGTAACGTAATTAGTTACTTTTTTTATGGAGTAACACAATATTGTAATGCATTACTTTTAAAAGTAACTTTCCCCAACACTGCTTACCAATGACTTCCACTGCATGAATGAAAAAAAACTGAGATGTTTCTCAGATTATCTTCTTTTATGTTCCATAGTTTATGTTGGGCCGTTGTAGCCTAAACTTTTATATGTAAAAAGTTTTATGTCGAATCAGGTAAAATATTTATTTTTAAAGCTTTCTATTAGTAATATCTACTTAATACTTTCTCATTTAACACAAAAATAGCTTTAAATAATCTTTTGGGGGTATTTTCACTGTCAAATGTAATTTGCGAATAATTTGATTAATTAATCAACACGTAATTATATTAACATTTTTAATCAACTGACAGCCATTATTATAACATAAAATAGAAAGTAATATAAAAATTATATAAAATTAGTATTGTTTTATACTTTATATGATACTTGTAACTTTATTTAATTTGATAGTTTTATTATTGTAAAGTAGAAAGTGTTTTTTCTGTTGACTGTTGTGATGCTGGTATCTGTGTTCGGAATCATATTTTATGGACGTGATGTTGGTGTGCTCAGGTTGGAGAAGGACTTCTTGACCATGAAAACTGATCTGATTGGTCAGCTGGATCAGGAGAAGGCTGCATCTGCTGAGCTGATTGGACAGTTAGAGCAGGAAAGGGCGGAGTCAGGGAAGCTGTCAGTCAAACTGCAGGAGCAGGAGAAAGTTTGGACAGAGAGACAACAGGAAATCAGCCGGGTAAAAACACGCAGATGTCTCTCTCAAATCTGCTAAAGACGTTTTTTTTTAGATATATTAGGGACATCGTACAAAGGCGTTTAGTCGAAAATGTCGAATAAAGTCGGAATGTTTCGAGAATAAAGTCGGAATGTTTCGAGAATAAAGTCGAGTTGATTCGGACCCTGTTTGTGTGTGTTTTAGGCTCTGGTGTGTGTGCAGCAGTCCTATGAGACTCTGTTGAGTGATCTTGATCATGTGGTACAGCAGTATCAGCAGCAGGGGGCGATACACGCTCAAAACACAGGTCAGGAGGAACAGGATTTATGAACTTTACTTCAAATGAATATGAAGCTACTTTGAAACAATATGTAGAGTATAAAGCACTATATAAATAAAGCTGACTTGAATTGAAGGTGCTTTACGGTGTGTGTGTGTCTTGTGTGTGTCTTGTGTGTGTGTGTGTGTGTGTGTGTTATAGAGGAAGGAGGTAAACACAAAGCATCTGCTCTAATGGACATTCTGCGGAAAACACTACACTACTACAACACACAGGTACAGCATTAAACTGTAATAATGCATATTTTATAGGACGGAGACACTGATTAAGGAATAAACTGGCAAACGCTTTGTCACAAGCACATTTGGATAAAGATTTGGCTGGATGTTAGTGCAGTGTATGAGCTCATGAGCTTTATTTGGTTGTTCTTGAGCTCACACGTCTAAATAATGCAGATATTTTCATGTGAATTGTTCAGTGTTCGGTGCCATGTCTTAAATTAATGGCATTGCATCTTGAATAAATTGTGCAGTTATTGTTATAGGATTATTGTTTTGCTGTGCTATTTTTTTAGTTTGTTGTTGTTGTTGTTGACGTTCTTGAGGTTTGTGTGTCCAGTATTGAGGTCTGTGTTTTAAAAATCTGTCCCACATATCTTTGCTTTGTAAGATGATTGCTCCTTCAGAAACACAGATTGCACAGATATTAATCTATATATGGTGTTAATAATGAGAAATTTGTTGTGCATGAAGTCTGTAGTTGCTGTGACACACTTATTGACTGAATGAGGCATTTTGCATTTAGTGAACTAATAAATTCAAACTGATAAAACAGTTACTGAGGATGATTCCGAATTCATATTATGCAATATACAATTGTGTTTTAATATTAATAATAACTGTAATATTATTTTTTTTAGTCTGTAAAGCTGCTTTGAAACTAATTGTATTGTGATTTGATGATTAAGATAGTAGTTGAGAGAACATAAAAATCTGAATGCATGTTGCATTTTCTTAACTGATTATTTTGTTTTTTTCTTATGTTTTTGTTGTTGTTGTTTTTTGTGATCGGCAGCTCGCCCCTTAGCTATTTTTAGCATAGAGTATTATAGTTATTATTTCTGTTTTTTTTTTTTTTTGTATATATATATTTTTATTTTTTTCTTAAATTGTAGTTAAAGTTTTAGTAATTCTGTTGTTTTTTTTTAATTCATTTTAAAAATGTCTTTATATATATTTTTTTGTTTTATTTCAGTGTTAGTTGTACTTCCAGTTAAACTAAATGAAAATGAGAATCGTTGATGCAACTAGCTGAAATTAAGTAAATTTAAGGGTTTTTTATATTTTATGTCAGTTAAAGTTTATTTATTTAAAGTAACAGAAATGTTTTGTATAGTTTTAGTTAACTATAATAATACAGGCTTACTTTTTGCTGTAATAAATTATGTTGAATTTACGTGTGCGCGTGTGTGCGCGTGTGTGTGTGTGTGCGCGTGCATGCGTGTGTGTGCGTGTGCATGTGTAGTTGCAGGAGTCTGTGATTGTGATGCAGAAGTTGAATCATGAGGTCAGACAGAAGGATGAAACGATCACTGATCTCCAGAGGAACATGCAGGTGATCGACAGACATTATTCAGGATGTAGATGAGTAAATGATTTATACTCCAATAATATGTCTTAGTAAGATGAGATTGAAATGATCCAAACATACTGTATAATGCAGTGCAATCCGATGATGATTAAGAGATGAAGAAACAAACACTCCTCAAAAGATCCTGAAAAATGATTGATGGAGAATCAAGTAAAGCTGAGCTGCTTCAGTCCAGTAAGTGTTCATCTGGAGATATTACTGCAGTTATTCTGTCCTTTACTTGATAAAAATCAGTCAAGATTTGACCACAGATAGACACTGAAGCAGCAGCTGAAACTGGACACTTGTACAATTACACTAAAAGAGCTTTTACTGGATAAAAACTCTCAATCAGACGACAGAAGACATGAGGAGATTGAGTGTGAAACAGCAGAGTGTGATCATTTAGAGCTTTAGAAACTCAATCAAATGTGATGCAGTGGCTTTATAGGGTTAATCTGGTTTCTGTGTGTCTGCAGGAGTGTGAGGCTCGTGGCGTGTGTGTTAATGAAGAGGTGAAGCGTTTGCGTGTGTGTGTCGCAAACGCCGCAGCTGATCTGCGCAGCCTCAAAACACAACACACAAACACACAAACACAGATGAACAAACTCCAGCAGCAACATCACAACGACTTCCAGGTACACACTCACACACACTATATATACACACACACCCTATACACACACACACACATACACACTATATACACACACTATACACACTATATACACACACACACTATACACACACACACACTATACACACATACACACTATATACACACACACTATACACGCACACACACCCTATACACACACTCACACACAAACACACACTATACACACTATATACACACACACACACACACCCTATACACACCATACACGCTATATACACACACACCCTATACACACCATACACACTATATACACACACACACACTATACACACTATATACACACACACATACACATATATACACACACACACACTATATACACACACACACTATATATACACACACACACTATATACACACACACACTATATATACACACACACTCACTATATACACTCACACTCACACACACACACACACACACACTATACACACATACACACACTATACACACTATATACACACACACACACTATACACACACACACACACACTATACACACATACACACTATATACACACACACACACACACCCTATACACACCATACACACTATATACACACACACACACTATACACACTATATACACACACACATACACATATATACACACACACACACTATATACACACACAAACACATACACACACACTATATACACAAACACACTATATACACACACAATACACATTATACACGCGCACACACACTATATACACATACACACTATACACACTCACGCACACACACTATATACACACAGACTATACACACACACTATACTACACACGCCTGCTTTGGCGCTTGAAAAGTTTTCAACTTCTGCCGCAAGTAACTTTGTTTCAAGAAGCGCAATCCTTTGTAGAAGTCTGTGGCAGTTCAAGCAGCAAGTAGATTCCACGAGAGGCATTTTCTTTCTCGTCTGTTTGAATGTAGGCAGCTATGCACACACATTCACACACCTACACACAACAACAACAGCCAATCACATTACTTTTCTGGTGTTGCATGAACGCGATTGGCTAGCGTCTGCACCAGGGTTTTTGCATAAAGCGATCTGATTGGCTGACGCCTGCTTTGGCGCTTGAAAAGTTTTCAACTCTCTCACACACACACATGCACGCTCTCTCTCTCACACACACACACACGCACGCTCTCTCTCTCACACACACACGCACACATGCACTCTCACACACACACGCACACAGGAAGTGAGCGTGACACTGTTTGCAGTGCTTGATATCATTAGTATGCTATTATTGGTAAATCTGACTGTGATTCTTGTGTTTAGGAGAAACTGACGTTCCTCCACACGCTGTATCAGCGTCTGCTCGCCGGATGTGTGCTGATGACGCCGCCGCACAGCATGCTGGGTAGCTTCTCATGGGCAGAGCTTAGCATTGTGGTGCAGGAGCACGTGGACAGGCTGACCTCTGACCTCTCCGCAGCCAATCAGAAGGTGAGAAGGGGCTTATGGTAAATATTTGCTGTGGAACTGTCGAGAGGTTGTGTAGAAGTGTGTAGCTGTAACGTGTGTGTGTGTTTCAGGTGTCACGCCTAGAGAGTGTGTGTGAGGGGAAGTCAGCTGCGCTGGAGAGTGTGAGCGCACAACTGAGACAGAGAGAGGAGAGCTGGAGCAAACAGAGAGAAGATCTCAGCACACAAAACACACACCTCAACAACCAGCTACAGCACAAGATACAGGTACAGTAGATTCCACAAGAGGCATTTTCTTTCTCATCTGTTTGAATGTAGGCAGCTGTGCTTTCCCGTCTTCGGAATGCAAGCTGCTGGCAATGGGAGGCAGAGTCTTCTTTTTCGTAGTATTATTCCAGTCCCGAAGAGTTTTTAGTTTAGTGTTTGTGCCAAAAATGTGTTGTTTGAGCACTGTGCTAATCTGCTGAAATTAAAATCTTAGAAAAATCTGAGAAAAATACATAAACAGAGAGCAAAGCGCCGAACGGTAGTGAAGCCAGAAAAAATCCCTACAGACACACACACGCTCACTCTCAAACACACACACACACACACACACAGAGACACACACAGACACACACACGCTCACTCTCACACACGCACACTCACTCACGCTCACACACACGCGCACTCACACACACTCACACTCTCACTCACACGCACTCACTCACACACACAAACACACACACACACCATTAGCAGAAGAAAAACACTAATTTTTTAAATAGCCATGTCTATATGGATCTGGTTCTGAAAGGTGGATTATCTGGTTTTATCACTTGTTTTACAGCTGCATTGTGGCTCAATGGCTAGTGCTATCATCTAACAGCAAGAAGGTCCATGGTTTGAGTTCTGGCTGAGCAATTACATTTTAAAATGTATTCAAATAGAAAGCAGTTATTTGAAATAGTAAAAATATTTCACAATTTTACTACTTTTGCTGTATTTTAGATAAAATAAATGCAGGCTTGGTGAGCAGAAGAGACTTCTTTAAAAAGCATTAAAAACTCTTACTGTTCAAAAACTTTTAACTGGTAGTGTATATATATTGGTTCAAATTGTGCAGCCTTAACTGGATCTCTTTAAAATACATCCTATCTTTTAACTCTGTGTGTGTGTGTGTGTGTGTGTGTGTGTGTGTGTGTCTGTGTGTGTGTCTGTGTGTGTGTCTCTGTGTGTGTGTCTCTCTGTGTGTGTGTGTCTCTCTCTTTGTGTGTGTGTGTGTGTGTCAGGCGGTGTGAAGGACTCCTCGTGTGTGTTGTCAGCGGCTCAGAGCGCCTGTAGGAAGTTGCTGGAGCGGTTGCTGTCAGACGTGGACGCTCAGTGCTGCGGGCATTATGGGAAGGATTCGTTAGCACGGCGACTGGCTGACGGACTTCACACACTCGTCAAACACAGCTACTGTAACAGCAAGGTACACACACACACACACACACACACACACACACAGACAGATACAGGGGCGTAGAATCAGGGGGGACGCTAGGGACATGTCCCTACCAATATCCAGCGACTACTAAATTGTCCCTAGCAATAATTTTGAACAAATAATTAAATATTTGTTTATGTTGTTGTAATTTCGCATGCAGAAATGCATGTCAGACCATTGATATTACCTAAGAAGTTAAAGTAAAACTGCACACTTTCAAGGACGCACATGTAATACTCAATGTAAAACTCACAGGTATCGCTCTCAGTTCAAGACAGCAGTCCAAAACAGTTCAAATAAAAGTTCACTTCAGGATTTAACAAAGTCGTGTCGATGAGTTTGAAATACGGTGTTCGACAAAACAGCAAATGCAAAGAGAAAGCACAATCTATGGCTATATCTCTCTATATAAAGCATACAGACAGAAAGACCTTGTGCTGAAAGATGCACAACACACAAACTTACAGCCTAGGATGAGGTCATTATTTCCATTAACACTAATTTGGGACAATATATAATGTGATTTTAGTGTAAACTGTGTGAGTGGCACTCTGTGGTGTGGCAGGATTTTGAACAGAAATTATGAATATGTTGGCTACCATAAGATATAAATAAAGAGTTTAGATGACATTAAGCTGCGGCCGAGAGGGTGATCTGGGCTGCGTTTCCCAAAAGCATCGTAAGCTTAAGTACATCGTAGTCCCATTGAAACCAATGGAGCTACAAAAACCTTACAATGCTCTTGGGAAACGCAGCCCTGCTCTTATGTCCCCATCAATGTCAAAAGCAAACCTACGTCATTGCACAGATATAATAAAAAATCAGCCCAGACTGGCAGGTTTTGTGTCTCGTCTATAACGTGTGTGTGTGTGTGTAGATGATGATGGCGTCTCTTCAGAAGCACATGTTGGAGTTCACGCAGCGTCTGCATTCGGCGGAGGTCGAGCGCAGGAACCTGAGACTGGAGATCTCACGCATCAATCGCACAAACAGCTGCAGAGACACACACACCGTGAGTCACAGCAACATACACTAAAATATTGGGCAGCACAGCTGTTTCCAACAGTGATAATAATCACAGAGTAATGATGCTGAAAATTCAGCTGCGCATCACAGAAATACATTACAGTTTAACAGATATTCACATAGAAAACCGCTACATTAGTTTAAATTAGAATAATGTTTCACAATTTTTACAGTATTTTTGATCAAATAAATGCAGCGTTGGTGAGCAGAAGACACTTCTTTCAGAATCATTAAAAAAATTTGGAATTGGAAATGATTCCAAAATTTTGACCGGTAGTGTATGTATATATAAATGTTGTGTGTGTGTCAGGCGTGTGTTCCCCTCCAGCGGTTCGAGTGTGTGTGTGAGGAGCTCAGCAGTGCCCTACAGAGGGAGCAGCGCGCTCAGACTCTGCTGCACGATCAGGCCTCTCAGCTGCAGCAACTGGGCCTCAGCATGGAGCTGCACACAGGGGAAGAGCTGGAGAAGGACCGTACACTCGCACAGGCTGTACAGGTACACACTCACACACACACATACACACATACACACACACACAAACACGCTCACACACACACACACTCACTCACTCACTCACTCACTCACGCTCACACACACTCACACTCACTCTCACTCACTCTCACTCACTCTCACTCACGCTCACACACACTCACGTACTAGAATTGTTTGTTTTGCTGTTGGACTACACTGGTTGTCCTGCATGTGTTTGATTCACTAAAAAGTACCAACTCACTAGAATCATTCAATTAGGAATCGCAATACACTGGTCAGACTTTTTGTTTCAGTAGTAGTGTTGTCTGTTCGGATTTTTTGTACCATTCGATGGTGTTTTTAATAGGCCATTTTAATAGCTTAAAAGTGACAGTGTTCACACCAGACGCGAATTTAATTATTCGCGCGAGTAGATTACATACAAAGTCAATGCAAAGACGCGAATAGGGGCAAATTCGCGCCAGGCGACGCGAATGATGCGAAATGCGCGACGCTTTTGCCGCGAACGCGAGATATTCGCCTCAATCGCGTTTTTCGCGCAAGTTCAAAAAACTGAGCCTTGAGGTACTCCATACTGCACTTGTGATCGATATGATACCTCTTCATTCACTGCTACGAATTGATGGCTGTCAGATAAGTACGATTTGAACCATGCCAATGCACTTCCACTAATGCCACCAAAGTTTTCTAGTCTATTCAAAAGAATGTTGTGGTCGATAGTGTCGAACGCAGCGCTAGGATCCAGTAGCACTAGTAGATACAACCATGATCAGATGATAAGAGCAGGTCATTTGTAACTCTAATGAGGGCAGTCTCAGTACTATGATACGGTCTAAATCCTGACTGGAAATCCTCACAGATACCATTTTCCTCTAAGAAGGAATATAATTGTGAGGATACTTCCTTTTCTAGTATCTTGGACAGAAAAGGGAGATTCGAGATCGGTCTGTAATTAACTAGATCTTTGGGGTCAAGGTGTCGTTTTTTAATGAGAGGCTTAAAGGTGCAATTGGTGATTCATTGTCTTTAGAAATATTTTTTGTTATGCTGGTTGAAATTCTTTTCACATCCCGATAGCAATCATTAAGTTAAGTGGTCTAAATGTATTTATCTGCATTTAGATATTCTGTGGAAGGCGTAGGACCAAGAAATGTTCGTCCAATCAAAATGCTCGGAACGAGCATTTTGATTGACTTTCCAACCTGCCTGCCAACATATGTATTTGCATACCTCTGCGCACCCTGTTCGCGCAGACACGATACGTCATCAGCGCGTTCACGTACGCTGTGCAAACAGAGCGAGAATGGCAGGCAAACATCTACAACCCGATCTTCCTTCCTGGTATTGTAGTACTGTTACTAACTGTACTATAAAGTTTTTTCACCGGTGAATGACACATGATGTATTGTAGTAATGTTGTCTCCGGTTGTTTGTGTACGTTCATGCGTTCAGGGGGCGTGGCTTTGGAATGCGATTTGCAGGGAGGGTGGGACTTACGCTTTCAGTGCTATCAGGCTAAAGTTAGCATTTTCCAAAATCTGCAACTGCACCTTTAATAACAGCCAGTTTGAAGGTTTTGGGGACATATCCTAATGACAATGACGAATTAATAATAGTCAGAAGAGGATCTATGACTTCTGGAAGCACCTCTTTTAGGAGCTTAGATGGAATAGGGTCTAACATGTTGTTGGTTTAGATGATTTAACAAGTTTATAAAATTCTTCCTCTCCTAGAGTGAGAATGCAATTCTAGAGAATGAGTGGAATTGTTCCTCTGGGGATCTATAGCACACTATCTGATGTGATACTGTTGCTGACAGCTGCATGGTTACAATTTTATCTCTTATAGTATCGATCTTAGAAGTAAAGTAGTTCATAAAGTCATTACTGCTGTGCTGCTGGGAAATGTCAACACCTGTTGATGCTTTATTTTTCGTTAATTCATCCACTGTATTGAATAAATACCTGGGGTTATGTTTGTTTTCTTCTAAAAGAGACGAAAAGTAATAAGATCTAGCTGTTTTTAATGCTTTTCTGTAGGATAGGGTACTTTCCCGCCATGCAACACGAAATACCTCTAGTTTTGTTTTCCTCCAGCTTCAAGACCAGCAGGTTTTAGGGTCCGGAGCCCAATTATTAGAGTTTATTTTGATGGAAACCTGGGTTATTCACATCACAACAGACATTAGAATGAAGAATGACCGAGACTTTCATTGTCTCCTCAGAGTTTGTCAGACGCCAAGCTGGAGTCGAGGAGGAAGGATCAGTCGCTGCGCTCGCTGGGGAAACAGCTCAGCCAATCACAGCAGGAGAACAAACAGCTGCAGCATGACATCGCCAGCGCCGAGAATGCACTGACCACCGCAGAAATGTAACACTCTCACTCTCACACACACACACACACACCCACACACACACACTCTCACTCACACACTCACACAGACTCACTCACACACACACACACACACACACAGACAGAGACACAGACACACACACACACACAGAGACACACACACACACTCACACACACACACACACACACACTCTATCTCTCAGTCTCCTGTTGTTCTTATACATTTACATTTAGTCATTTTGCAGACGCTTTTATCCAAAGCGACTTACAATTGGGGGATACATAAAGCGA